CTTTACACTTAGTACAATACCCTTAGGATGTATAAAAACTGGCCAAATAACAGTTAGTTACCCACATTTAACTTAAAATTATACAGCTATCTCAAATTACGAATAACCAATATACATTTATTTTAACCTGTGTGGAGCAACTCACTTTGTTTCCCACAGGGTCAGACAAAATTACCTTTAATTTTTATAAAGTTTAGGTCTGAAAATTACCATCTATAGACTAGTCGATGACATAACCTGCACTTAGTGTGCACTGTCTCAATTCCGCCTTTTTTGCACGCTTGTAACCTGCGCACTCAAACCCTTGCGTGCACTTAAAACAAATGCAGGTTAGGTGAGGTGTCTCTCACCTAACCTGGCAACGCCTCGGGATTCTCCCGGATGAGGAGGTGTGTGTGGATAGTGAAATCTGGGAGTCTCTGCTTAGACGTCTGCCCCATGACTCTCAACAGATAAAGCGGAAGAAAATGGATGGATGGGTATTCTCAATATTTGGATTTTAACATCATCATCATGATTATCTTTCACTCTAAAACCTAATAAATTGGTAAAGAATCTTGCAGATTCAAAACACACAATTTAGTGACCATGCAGTTGTTTTTCTGCCACAATTCAAAGGAACAAAGGTTTGATTCTGGAATGTTGCCTTATGCCTTGAATATCGGATGTTCAAATTAGCATGTTCACTTTTATGCCTGGTTTCGATTAAACCGGCAGTGGGGTTCTTTACAGTTACCAGGGGGGTCATATTTGAACGCACGGCTTGTTTTAATACAGTGCAACCTCATGGAATGCAAAGAATCCTGTCGTTTATTTTTGTCCCAGGTTGAAAATTGGAACTGGAAGCATGTTATTTCAATTAGAGGAGCTGTAAAGACACGTTACAGTAAGACCGCATGGCCCTTTGCACCGTACGGGGTCAATATATGCCTCACTGACTGCGCAGGTGAACAAAGGCCATTCCAAACTCTTGCAGGCCAAGACGAACACGCGATACCTATCACCGCGGAGTCTCTGAAGGATGAATCTGTCCCTGCGCCTGGACACGTCTTAAGCAGCTGTTGACAGGAGGCTCGAGGCAAACGCAGCCACATGATGTTATGGTAATGAGCGGCAGTGAAGTAGAGTGTTTGGAGACATGTGAGTCACAAATGGGTCATGGGTCACATCGGCTGCCTCAACAAACATTTGCTCCTTGGTTTGAGTAGCAAGCAAGGCTGCAAATACTCCGCAGATGGCTGATTAATCTACCGGTATCGTGATTTTTGAGGAAACCAAAATTCCATGACATTCCATGACATTTCAAATTTTGAAATCAGAGTAATTTGATAACTCATCAGATTTTTCAGTTAGGGCTGACTAATGACTAATAATATATAATTTTAATATATATTTTTCTTCTGAGCTCATACTTTATGCTTGCTATGAAGTATATGCATTTCCACAGAAAGCATATACACATAAGTACTTTCCGTATATATTACTCATCAGCGCTTTCACATGTATTGTACATACGCAAAATTTGAACTCCCTGAAACCACTGGAAATGGACTCTGAAGAAGAATAGAGGATGAATAATGCTGCGCAATCATGCCAAAAATGATTATATGTTTTTTTTTATTCGTAAGTTTTACAATTTTGAGTTGACAACTTTTTGTGTGTGAGATTTGTATCAGACTTCTCATTTTAAACATTTAACACGGATACTTTGTACCATTTATTTACTTTGTTTTATGGATATGCACATTGAATAGAAAGTTATGAGGGTATAATCGTCATAATCAGAGTTTTTGGGCCTGTTTTTATGTCCCATGTTTGAGGCGTTCCCTCTTAAATTACTTCTGGTTATTATAACAGAGCAGAGTGCTTTGCTGGTTTATTGGCCAAAATGTGAAAGTTTAAGTTATTGTGCCTTAGATTCATGTACTAGTAGTGCTATTCAAATCTGGTATTGATTAAAACAATGACAAAGTAGAGCAAGAGTGAGTTTGACGCACACATCCAAGTCTGAGTAGCGTGCAAAAAGTCGAAAATAGTACAATGAAAAAATGGAGATGACTCTGCACATCTTTTGCTAAGAGCGAAAGCTGTGCAGAGTCATCTCCATTTTTTCATGAATTAAAACAATAAAATAACAGAACTCAGAACAAGTAAATACATTTGTATGGGATAAATCCTGAACAGTAGCCATCACTATATCCCTATAAGTTAGTTAGTGCCTCTTCAAAGGTCACATGCTGACTTTTTGAACTTTAGTTTGAACCATAATGGTTATATTCATTAAAACATGTTATAAATTGAAAACATATTGATACTTGGATGTTTGTATCCTGCGAAATACTAGAATCATTTTGCAAGACCAGTCCATATGGGGTCCTGGGGGATAATTTTTTTCACAGCTCAAGCGTGCACTGGTCAGCCTCGCAAATCTGAAATGTGGCTGCAATGTTGTACACCTGCTATAGATCAGCCTCCAGCTGTCATGCTTTTGTCTATATGGCAAATCGTTCTTTCACACTTCCAGAACAAATTGTAACTACAAAGATAACTATGGAAGCTCATTATATTATATTATATTCTTCATTAGCTTCTATTCATGAAATATATTGATTTTAAATTGAACAATTTGGAAGAATTAAAAATAAAGCTGAGAAAGTTCCCCTACATACCTCTGGGTTTACTTTGATTGTTCAGCCGCCCTCACCCTGCTTGTCACAGCTTTACTACTAAAAATGAATGACCTCTCTGCTTTGTGTTAGTGGTTCCATATCTCACTTTAGGCCACATTCCTCCAAACACATCTTGAATCCGTAAACCTCAGCAGGACATCACCAGAGTTTTGTGTGCAGTTGTAATAACTGGTACATGATATGCTTTGTGGTCGATTTGAATTGAATTCCATAGTTCAGAGCAATTGGTGAGTCTATATTTAGATGGGCCTTGGTTTGGTCAGAATAAGACCAGAACTTCATAGGCAAGTTTATTTATATAGCACAATTCATACACAAGGCAATTCAAAGTGCTGAACAAAATAAGAAAGCATTAAAATCATAAATAATAACATTAAAAAGAAAGATAAAAATATAAAATCCCTCAGTTGTATGCACAGCTAAACAGAACTGTCTTTAACCTGGTTTTAAACATTGTCATCGAGGAGGCCTGTCTCACATCTTCAAGAAGACTTCCAGATTTTAGCAGCATGAATCTGAAAAGCAGCCTCCCCATGTTTAGTTCTGACTCTGGGCACTAACAGGAGTCCAGTCCCTGTGCTCCTCAGAGTCCGGGCTGATTCGTATGGGACTAACATGTCACTAATATATTTTGGTGCGAGGCCATGGAGAGACTTGTACACAAGCAGAGCTGTTTTAAAGTCTATTCTCTGAGCCACAGGAAGCCAGTGCAGAGACCTGAGGACCGGACTAATATGGTCGTACTTCCTGGTTCTAGTCAGGACTCGAGCTGCTGCATTTTGAATGTACTGCAGCTGTTTTACAGCCTGTTTGGAGAGACCTGTGAGCAGGCCATTGCAGTAGTCTAACCTACTGGAGACAAATGCATGGATAAGAATCTCCAAGTCTGCTTTAGACACTATGTTTTTGATCCTGGCAATGTTTTTTAGATGGTAAAAAGCTGCTGATGTTACTGATTTGATGTGGCTATTAAAATTTAAGTCTGAGTCCAGTATTACCCCTAGATTTCTGACCTTGTTTGAAGGTTTTAGGGAGAGAGACTGTAGGTGACAGATGACGCTCTCTCTTTGTTTCTGGGGACCAAAGACAATCATTTCAGTTTTGTCTGCGTTTAGCTGAAGGAAGTTGTTTTGCATCCACTCACTGATCTGTTGGATACAGTGAAGGAGTGAGTCCACTGGTCCATGTTCTCCTGCAGTCAGTGAGACATAGATCTGAGTGTCGTCTGCATAGTTGTGATAGGACACTTTGTTTCTGCGTATTAACTGACCTAACGGCAGCATGTAGAGATTGAACAGAAGAGGTCCCAGGATCGACCCCTGTGGTACTCCACAAGTCAGGGCCATATGATCTGAGACACAGTTTCCAATCTCCACAAAGTACTTCCTGTCCTCAAGGTAAGACCTAAACCAACTTAGAGCGGTGCCAGCGACGCCAACCCAGTCCTCTAATCTCTGTAAGAGGATCTCACGGTCGACGGTGTCAAAGGCAGCACTCAGATCTAACAAGATTAAGATTGAGACTTTGCCTGCGTCAGTGTTCAGCCGGATATCGTTTGTAACCTTAACGAGAGCAGTCTCAGTGCTGTGGTGGGGTCTAAAGCCGGACTGAAACATATCAAATGAGTTGTTGATTATAAGAAATCTAGTAAGCTGTAGGTAGACAACTTTCTCAAGGACTTTCCCCATAAATGGCAGATTTGAGATGGGACGATAGCTGTTAAGTACCGTAGCATCCAGACTGCTCTTTTTTAGCAAGGGCCTGATGACTGCAGTTTTCAGGGCCTTTGGGAATATTCCAGAATGAAGGGACATGTTTACTATCTGTGTGAGTGAAGGTAACAGACCGCTCAGAACAGACTTCAGAAATCTAGTGGGTAGTACATCCAGGCTGCATGTGGAGGAGCTCAGACTGGAGATTATCTCTTGGACAGTTTTATCATTTACAGGTGCAAAGTGAGTTGGCTCAGAGAGCCTTTTTGGCTGTTGGATGGTTATCTGTGGATTGGAGATAATGGCGTTTTTGATGCCTTGAACCTTGTCATTGAAAAAAATTTGCAAACTCATTGCATTTACGCTTGGAAGTAAGCTCTAATGGCATCTGAACAGGGGGGTTTGTTAATCTTTAATCTTGTTAAACTTTTATAATGTTTTTATGTCATTAATTTATTCACATAAATCCATTGATCTCTTTCTAAACTATACGCCTTGGTTTCATTCAATAAAAAAATATTCAATGCAATTGTAAAATAATCATGTGTTCTGGACTAGTAATCATTTATTGATGTATGTGTGTGTTTCATACCCACAGGTGCGGAAGAAGGATGTGGGAAGATTATCCAGCGATACCCCAAAAAAGACTGGGAGGGCACCGCGTTCCCTCAGGGGGTGGAGATGGTGAGTCTCTCTTTGGGTTGTGTGTCTGTTATGGCTCATTTTCATTTTGAAACATTTAGCACCAGAATTCTACTATTCCAGGCTTATGTTTTTGCTTGTATTTCTTCATTTAGATCATGATCCGAAAGTGCATGTAAGAGGAAAGTTCATAGGTTTAAAATAAATCCCCAAAGCTGGTACTGTAGATGGCAGAATATATATTGCACCTGTGATCAAAGATCTAAAAATATCTTTTAAGTTATCCTTGAATGACAATTTGAGAGTATTTGTGAGAGCTGCACAAAATTGGAAATGTGTGTGACATGCGATTGTGGTGTCAAGGACTGCGATATTTTCTTTTTTGCATAATTTTTTTTATATTTGCATTAATTAAATAACTGGTGAAAAATGTGGTTAATATAACTGAACATTGAAGGTGAAGGTAATTTTAGTCCCAACAGATTTAGATCCTTTCATACAATTGTGACTTTGCTCGTTCCGGTCATTTATAGAGCGGCACTTTGTGGGGTGCGCATTTGAGTTGGGGTTTGATGGTTTTGTTTCTATCTTGTTTTGTTAAGCTCTTTAGCTTTTGAACTCAATCCTTTGAACTCCATCCAACCATCCATTTTCTTCCCCTTAATCCCTTTCTGGATTATTTGTATTTCTGTGCAATACAAATAAACTTGCCTTTGTCAGATTAAAAACAAGCAACTGTGAATAAAGTTACTTATTTATTACTTGAAGTTATCGCTCGTCATTGCGATCTGGATAGCACACATTTATCCAAGTGCTAAACCCCGTGCAAAATAAAATAGTGCAATATTCTTGATTTAGTTCTATTGGACATGTGCGTGATGAGATATCTGGATCCCCTCTGAAATGTAATCACTTTTTCCTTGTCCTATTTCAGAGAATTCCTGAACATTTCATAAACATCCGCTCAGAACCTTTGACAAATTCGGCATTACCCCCTTGCAGAGGTTAAAGTGACATTTATAAAAGGCAATATATTGTCAGCCGTTTAAACATTTTTATCGACATCAACATTTGCACATAGAAGGACATCGACGTCTGTCTGGGCACATGGCATTGTTTAATCATTTTAAATACATAAAAAAATCTTGTTATGATCAGTGGTTTTGACTGTGATATCTATAGTGAACAATTTTACCTTTTAAGTCAGATGAGGACAAGTCTGTTATTGCACCACAAATCGACACATTGTGGTTTTTAGTGGGCTTCCTTTATAATGTGCACTCTGTTGGTGGCCATCAAGAATGTTCGGTGTTATTCTACCCATAAAAGACAAAAGCAGCAATAAAATACGCATTTTATTCTTTTTTGTTCATTGGACAGATTTTGTGCAGTGCTAAAAGCTTGTTTGGTTCCGAGACTGTTGAGGGTGACAATTTCCCGGAACCCAGATCAGCAATTCTTTCTAAAGTGAATATATTGTGAGAGACAGAATTTTTCCCTATTCAGAGTAGGGCTAAAATAAATTGAAGCGATAATGGCGTGACTGCAATCATGATATATTGAAATGTTATATTTGCATAAAACGAAAAGGATTTTCTTTCTAAAAACTTTTCTATAAACTTTTTTTTGCAACAAAACACATTTTAAAAATAGGCATAATGTATAGATAAAAAGTCAATTTTATTTCATTTTAAAATGTGGGTGAAATGATCAAAGACCTCATTACCTGTAAGGATTGTTTTGTGTTCAGCACAGTCAGTTGGTCACAACGGATCTTTGACGTGGAAACAGTTTAAAAACTAAATCAGAACTGTGTTGGCACAACCCATGAACATTTCTGTGTGAAACAAATGCAGAGATGACCATAATAGATTCATAATGTCTTTGTAAATCGATATGGTTCCTTATATGCTAGGTTTTTGATAACCCCAAATTCTCTAATCGAAACGCTATGGATGATATCAGCACTTGGTCAGTCCACTCCATAATGTCTATTCTTAAACCATTCATAATTAGCTAGATCCTTGACCACTTGTGGCTCCATCTGACCACATATTTGAACTCTTAGCTAAAGTGTTAGCAAGTTGGTCCTTTGCCACAGCTTTATGCTGAGTAATGAGGATGAGTGGCTCCATAGCATCATGCCTCAAAAATCCTGTCATCCCAAGTATTTGGAGTTAAATATAGCCCGGAGTATTGCTGAATGTATCGTTAGAGGTTCCAGATGTGTGCATTGGGACCTATTACTTCCTCGCTGTAGTTGTCATCCTATTGGTTCATTATGTGTCCGCTTCGACTAAAATGGAGATGGAGGGCTATTCCCAGTGCACCGTAATAATATCCCTCTAGGATGTTTTCAACAAAGTTCTATTGGCATTTCCTCTAAGCATATTTGCTAATTAAGTATTGAGGAGAAGACTAATGACAGATCAGTAACATGCCAAATATGGTTCAAATGTTGTGGTGTAGTTTGTCTTACACAAGAGACCCAGGGGGGTAAGCAGGGACAGGAAATGTGCATTTCTGTAGTGGTGTGTGACAAACTTTTTCTCCTAAGCCAAATGGCTGAAATTCCAACTTTGAAGCCCTAATGAAGACACGCCATAGTGTTTAACAGACCCCACTAAGCAATTTGCATTTTAGCTCTGTCTCGGCCTGGTATGTAAACCATTATTACTTGCACATTTTCTCTGCGCTATCAAAGAAAAAAAGAAAATGAGTAATTTACAAACACAAGAGGCGCACATCTGTACAAAACCGTGGATGAAGCTGAGCACGAAAAGCATTTTGTGGTCACAACAGGCCCCCAGCAAACTAAATAACCACAGATGAGGAATGCACATAGAAAAAGCGTTTACAACTTGTGCTGGAAAAATGTGTTTCTAATCTTAACAGTGAAGTGATGATGATAGGAACCAGCTCGATGCTCATCTGTTCTGGATGAGCCCTGTCGAGATGGAGGTCAGTGTAGTGTGCGTCAGTACATTTCCATGGATCTGCAGTCAAAGGGTTAACTGGAAATGGACACAGAGGGACATGGTACAACTGTGAAATGAATGGCTGAAGTTTTTACTTTAATGCTTTATCTTCCGGAGAACATACCACAGATAGCTCTGGTTTGATTGTACTCTTTTGTCCCCATCACTAGTAAACATATGTCTCTCCAACAAAATCCAATGCCTCGTTAATAACGTCTCACGCTTGCGCCTCAGTATTTTAAGTTGAAAATGTAGCTGTGCTATGAGTATGTTTTTAAATGCATTACACTGTTTCTATTTATTACAAATACTGAATGTTCCTCCAGTAGTTATTAGTATACGAATACGAAAACTTTGTCCACCAAGGTCGAAAATTGTCTTTAGTTGTCACCTTAAAATACATAAAAGACACACATCCAGAAAAAAAATCATGTGGCACTGGCACTACATTCACAGTACAATTGAAAAAACTAACCAACAAGGCCTAATCCGGCCTAAAGAAAAGAGTCAACCTCAAAAGAGTGTTTGCCGCTTTCACTGCTCTGGGCACAAAGGAGTTTTTAAAAATGTTCTTCTTGGCTGATATCACTCGATATCTCCGTCCTGACGGCAGAAGTTCAAAGTTTGGGTTTAGCGGATGTGAAGCATCATTGATGAGCTCAGCCTTCTTTCCCAAGCGCTCCTCGAAACAAACAGTGGAGAGATCTTTGTGGCTGCCCAATGATCTTTGAGCTCTGGTTCACGATCCTTTGGAGTTTGTTCTGATTCTTCATGCTGAGGTTGCCAAACCACATCAGCATGTTAAAAGTGAGGATGCTCTCCACCAGGCTCTTGTAGACGGTCTCAAGAATAGAATGTCTCGCAGCAAAATTATTTAGTTTGCTAAGTAAATACAGTAGTTGTGAGCATTTCTTGAAAATGAAGTATGTGTTGCAGGACATATTATGTGTGTGTAAATGCTCTCTATATATGGTTTCTTCTGGTAAGTTGCTTGTGAGTGAGTGTGTATGGCCACAATGACGAGCACAGTGAGACAGATGTTTTGGTGTTTTTAGCATTATTTCAGACACATTACTGAGCAGTTCACAGTGCAACATGAAGGTTGGCTCATCACATGTAGCCAGGCCAGGGGCCATCACGCTGACGTGAGGACAAGACCCAAGAGGGTTTAATGTATTTTAGAAGTATTGGATCCGGATTTGGTATCGGCCAATTGACGTTAGTGATATTGTTTTTGTTGACAACCCTACTGTATAAATGCATTTTTATGAATATGCAAACAACTTTATAAGGCTGTGATAGTGAAAGATGGACAAAACGATATATGCCAATTTCAGTGTGAAGTTAATTGTATGAATCGCTTTAACTCTGAAAAGTTAACTTCTCCAATCTTGCATGTGTGCCCTAATTTTATTTGGAATTCTCCATTGTATTGTACAGTAGATGTTATTTTTGTAAACATCCTCAAGTTATGCATAACTTGATTATCTAAACATTGCCATTCTTCTCGTCCAGATCTTGACTTCTTAACCTTCTTCCCTTTCCCCCAAAACCCTGTTGTAATCATGCTTGAACGACCGGGAAGGATGAGTATTCAAAATATGTGTAAACTGCTGTAGTTTCAGGCTGTCTCAGTACACGATGAGTAATTCTAGTATGAAGTCAATCATTGGCCTTACTATGCCCTTGTGTTTATAGTTGATGAACGTCTTAATGCGTTTAAGAAGCTATTTATTTGAATAAACAGCCCGTGACACAGCAAACAGTCTTGTTCATCATCATTAAGCTCAGTCTTCGTCAGTGTTCGGCTCCTGCCCAAATCGCTAACAGATGAATAAAGAATGCACTACCATTGTATCACTCGTGTATTTGGCTCAAATTGGTGTAAGTTGACATGTTGTGGCGCACGTCAAGTCCTATGATGTTTATGGGAGGAAAACTAAACAGTGCATTCCAAGTGGCAGGATGCAGTTGGAATGGGATCATGTGTTTGACAGGAAGATCCACAGATGAGTAATCAGAGCTTGATGTGCCAAAGAAGCCAAACACACCAGGAAACGAGGA